TATTTTCCATAATTATTTAATTTTAGATACAAGCCAGTTTTGCGCTCACATTTTGGGCATGTATGTACATTTAGTTGTGTGTCATGCAAGATACACATGTAGGCGATCATGTATCTTTCGATACATGACTGACGAAGCAGATTTTTTCCCCGCAGTAGGTTGCCATTTCTTTCCGTGGTAGACAAGTTGCCAACCAAGGCTATAGAAACCAGTCTGTCCTGCTATTTACCCATAGCTGGGAGGAGAAGAAGAGGATTAATACCTCTCCCTAGGGTATTAGCATGTAAGTGAATGTAATGGATTCGACTAGAATTCAAACATGGCTCTACTGATTCCTCAATCTGAGCCGCTATCCATTACTCCACCGTGCTTCCGTATGTACATTAGGTAACTGAAAAAGTTTTTTTTTATGATCAGATGGCATTAGGAGTGTTTAGTTTGAACTTATTTTCTAATGCCACATCAGCAATTGTAATTCTTCATGGCTTTCTTATCTATGAATTGTCATGCATTCTTGGAGAAAATGGGAGAATGATTTTCTATTGCCTTCTCCATGGTTTGAAATTTATAGTTTTCCTTCTATTAGGGTGGTTGCGACCCAAGACTAGAGAACAGAGTCTATCCTGTGATTTAACCCAGGGGTGTCTGTGTGTGTTAGAGACAGATTCATGTCTTTCTCCAAAGGCATTTGTCTTAAAGTAAACATCAGATTTGAATTCAGCACAATATCTGTTACCCTACCTGCACAAATTGTAACTAACTTAAAAAAAATCTTTTGCTTATATTTTAACAAGTGCTAGTATTTTTGCTTACTGATGGTAATCTTGAAGAGGGAAGAAAGTAAATAACATTTTCAGCATATACTTTTTATTATTATTTTAAGTTAAAAATGTGACTGAAACACAAAAGTTATTTGTGCAGCTTATGACGAAGGTATTGCAAATGGTGGAACATGTCAAAAGTAGTTTGTGAAGTTTCAAGCTGAGATTTCTTGCTGAATTTTGCTCTATAGTTGGGCTGACTTGTTCAAATTGACAGTGATCAAATTAAGATATGTTGCAGGTGATAGTCAAGATACTGAAAATATCCAAGTATTGAAAATCATTTATATAAGTTTGGTTATGTTATTCACTTTGATGTGTAGCTTCCTTTAAAAGAAGAAAAAAAAAAAAAAAAAAAAAAGGAAATATTTTTTGATTATTTCCACATGCAATTTTGCTGCTTAAACATAATGCAAATATTCAGTTTTAGAAACTAATTGTGATGGGCTATGAAAGAAAAGAAAAAAAAAAATGAAGATACTTTACACCATAGAATGGAAGAGATCATAGGCAAGCGAATTAAACCATACCAAGTCCTGAGGTACATTCAGAAAAGTAGTCTACTACAAACTCTTTCCAGAGAATCTAATGAAGGATTCAAATAATTACTGCTGCCAATTTGATCAACTGAAGGCTGCAATAAATGAAAAACATTTTCTGGAATGACTTAAATAAAAGAGCATAAATATTCTATCATGCTAATACAAGATTTTTTTGTTTCTTAGGTGACCAGAAAAAAAAAAAGTAATTTTTACAGATGGACTAGGAAATTTTTTTTACTCGTCTGCTGTAATCAGGAGTTATTACTTGTTAAGATTAATATCTATTTCAGTTTATAGATCATTTCCTTTAATGAAGGGAAGGGATTCCCTAGAAGGCTGCAAAAAGCACATGGATGATTTTTTTGCTGACAAAAGATACAAAATTTTGAGTGAATGGAATTATGAATTTAGCTGAAAGATGGTTGAAGATAATGGAAGAAAACTGTAAATATGTTCAATAAAGTTAATATTGAGAGAGAGAGAAGAAAAAATATCTTTATTTGATAAACTAAATGTTTCAGACCAGCCAATACAACTTTATTTAAAAGTTTTATTGGCTGGTCTGAAACATTCAGTAAATTTTTGTCTGTATTTCTGAGATGAGGTATTATAACTATTTACACTGTTCAGACTTGTCCACATCTTTATTGTCATATTCATGACATTTCATCCATTGTATGCTGTGGCTTTCTTCAGGTGATATTAGTTTGAATTTTCAAACTGAACCCTTTATTTAGTACACAGAGTAGATTTTTTTTTATCAATGACACATGGCCCAGTGGATAAAAGTGTTGGTTGAGCTATCCAAAAATTTAATACTTAGGGAACAAAAACTTAGAGAGTTATCAAGGCGAATTAACTGAAACAGATATCCAAAGGCATGGCATGTGGAATTAGAACAATTTACCCCTGTGGACTGAATAAAGTGTTCAGTTTGAAATTCCAACTAATATCATCTGAAGAAGGCCAGAGTGTACAACAGCTGAAATGTTATGAATATAGCAATAAAAATGAGGTCAACATTCTAAACAGGTAAATAAGTAAATTTTTCTTCATGCAACTCAAAAATATTTCTAATAATTTAGGTTAAACCATGTGTAGAACAGTGTTTAAATCTTTGTGAAATCAAAAGAAAAAAAATCTATACAGAGTTCTGTGTTCAAAGTTGTCAATTTTATAAGCTGACCTTGTGGCTGTATATGGTTGCATATTTATCAATGGTGATAGTGATCATGATTTGAGTTCAATCAAAAGGCTATGAATTTCAATGCTGATTTTCAAGGCAGGCACAGTCTCCCAACAAGGGAAACTGTTGCAACAATTTTTATACTCACCACACCAATATTTTCAACACATATGGCCCTAAATTAATAAAAAGCAGTCCAGTGTAAGGGTTTAGTTTAGAGAGGTAATAAAATAAGTAATGTTAAAATTAAGAGAATTAGAATAATTTCCCCTCGAGTTATTTTGCTCAACGCATGCAATAGTAAAAATAATGAAGTTGGTATAAAATAATTTGCTTTCCTTGCTCTTCTAAAAAATTTGTTCAAGAGATGAAACAAGATCCAAAGTAAACTGTCATTACCTCTTTTCAAGTAGAGGTGCATTTTTTTTGTTGTTTCTTTATTAGATATAGATATAATCTGAGTGGCAAATAAGTTTTCTTAAAAACATACTTCCATTGAAATGCATTAAAAATCATTATTTTTTTTTTTTTCATCATCATCATCACTTCCCATCCACCCCAACATACAAAGCAATTTACCACAAGGGAAAGAAACAAAGCAGAACGAAAACAAAAAGAAATAAATGTACGGCAATTTATAATTATTCATGTCTTTCTGTTTCATCTTGATTTCTTACATTGTTTCATCTCCCCCTTCTACCCCCCCCATTTCATTTGGATACTTTTGTAAACCAACATTAACAACAACAATAATAAAAAATGATTTCATTTTTTTTTTTTTTTTAAAACTCTTCTGTTTTTGTAAATGCGTACCTGGGTAGGGGGGGGAAGTTTAGATTATTTTGTACAGAATGAAAAATAAAAACAAAATATAAATAAATTAAATAAATAAACAAAAACAAATAAACAAAAAGAAAACAAAAAAAAACTTATTAAAATTTTTTTTATATATATATATATATTTCCAGAAAAAAACAAAAAGAAAAAATTGCAAGTATATATATATTATATATAAATATATATACACACAGCTATATTATGTACACATCACATGCTCATCAACATACACACATATATACACATGCTTGCATGCACACATGTACACACACTTATATTCATATAGATACAAATTGCTTTTACCAGTCCTCAAAATCTTATCATTTATACTGAATTTTAGTTTCTCTTGGAAAAGAGAAAGAAAAATTTACACAAAAAATAGTTCAAATGGGGAGAAGAAAAAATATTCATAAATTAAAAATGACAAAAATCAGTAGTAGTAATAATAATAATAATAATTATAGCTTTTTGAAAAAGGCCTGTATCATATAACATGAACTGTCCTCTTCTGTTTCTTAATGAAGATATTCTTCCTCCTCCTTTCAAAAAAAAAAAAAAAAAAAAAAAAAATCTCTTTATATCTTTCTTTCTCACCTTTTACTTCCCTTGCTTTCTCCTTTTGTATATCTGAAATATAAAACTTGACCCCCCCAAGGAAACCATCAAACATTGTGTTGAATTTATTTTTTTTAGAGAGAGGCTCTGTTTTAATAAGCAAGTACCAATATGGCATTACATAGGAAAAAGAAAAGAAAAAAATATTAAAACAACCCTCCAGTATTAAACCTTTGCCCGACAGATCATCATGTGCTGATGAGTAGCAACCAGAGATAGCCTAGGAAGTTTTAGCGAACAGAAGTGTCCATTACTCCTAGGAAAAATAATATCTACATCATAGGATGCTTATAAGCTCTTGTAAGGTTATTATAACAATCTGCATGCAACCTCCGGTAAATATATTTATATTTACCTACATTTGTTTAAACTGAATACTAATTTCAGTGATAGATAGGCAAAGGGTTAATTTTACTTTAAAAAGAAAAAAAAATGATTCCAAACAGAAAAATTCATTTAATGCTGTCCTTTTCTGATTAGTCTTTTCTGCCTACAGTTTTGAGTGAGAAAACTTTAAAAATTGCTTATAAATTCTCAAAAAACATACGTCCTCTTTCTGCTATAATTACTTCTCAGTTACTCAACTAGTAGACAAAAATTTAAAAAAAAAAAAAAAAAAAAAAATATTTGAGTTCTAGACCTAGCTAGTAAAACAAGTGATTGCCTGCCCTGCTATCATTGAAACTTCTTGAAAATTGTTTTTGAAATAATTAAAAAATAAAATTTGATTTTTCTTAAAACAGTTTTTTCTCTCCCATATATTTATTTATTTTGTGTAAATAAATGGTATCCTTAATGATCAAGTAAACATACAGGAATTTGGGGGGGACATAATGGGAAAAGTGGGGGACAAATAATCAAGGTTTAAAAAAAAAAAAAAAAAAAAAAGGAACCTCTTTCTTTTTCTTTTCTTTTTTTTTTATCATAAATAACAATTTGTTTTATTTCTTTCCTTTTCCCCCCCACCCAGTCATTTTGTGAATCACCCCCAGGGTCAGGTCATGAGTTTTGTAACAGTTGCAAACCAGCTTTGACATAGTCAACATGTTCTAAAATACTGCTCTGCAATGAGATTGTCTTACAGCGCGAGTTGAGAAGCTCCGTAAAGTCTTTGCAGTTGTCCCTCTGGATGGCGGCCTGATCAGAATAATGATGAGCTTTGACAAGGTAGTCCATGATTTCCATATAGTTGCGCGTGATGGAATAGATACGCTTTGGAATTGTAACAGTTTGTGAAGATGACGGAGTAGAAGCGTTCGTAACAGATGATGGGTGAGGGTTTATGGAAGAGGAAATAGTGGAGGAGGAGGAGCAAGAGGAAGTGGTATTTGTTGTGGTGGAGGAAGAAGAAGTGGTGGTGGTGTTGTTTGCAGAAGTCGCAGACGGGGTTAATCTGGCATCAGAGGTACTGCTCCCTTGTGATCGTATAGAATCAATGCTGCCTGAAGGGGAAGGGGTTGATCTCGACGAGGGTGTAGAAATGTTCAGATTTGGTCGGACTGGGGAGGGAGTATGAGAGTGTGCTGTGCCAGATACAGGAGCGCTGCTTGAATACTGCTTGTAGTGCTCATCCAGCGCCTGCCGCAGGTTGTCAGCCACTTTCTTTTTGAGGTCATAGAGCTTTTTGCTGATGGCAGACATGAGCAAAAGTCGTAATACTGCAAACTTCTGCTCCTGTGGATATTGGTGATAGTGTCCGATCTGATCAAGCAGCTCAAACGTCTCACTGAACATCTTGTAGCAGTCCTGATGTTTGCGAGACTTTTCCATAGCCACACCGCACAATACGTAATAGACAACTGACTGCATGTACAGATACGCCTTTTCAAATACGTCTGTCTTTTTGTTGCCTTCATGTTTCATCCTTGTGGCCTCCTGAAAATAGAAAGTCGCGCTATTCTTCTTACTGCTGCTACTGCTACTGCTGCTACTACTACTACTACTACTACTACTACTGCTGCTACTGGTGGTCGTTTGTACCTTCACAGGTGGACGGCCACTTTTGATATTGTCTGAAGATCGTTTTGAACTGCTACTATTATTACTATTGGTGCTGCAATCCCCAGCAGAACTACCATTACTGTTAGTATTCAAATTGCTGGAAGTTGGGGCCAACGTATTTAGTCGTGGACCAGCAATATTGGCAGCAGACGAGGCTCCAGGGGACGATAATGACAACTTTGAGGTGGATGATGTTACCACAGCTGAGGATGATGACGATGTCGAGGTGGACGATGAGGCAGTTGCTGCTTTTGTCATGTCTTTCAAGGAATCAGATGGCGGTTTTGTCGACAATGAAATGGATGGTGCAGATTGATTTTCTTTGGCGTTTTTGTCATTTGACTCAGAATTAGGATTTGGCATGCTGTTACAGTTCTCATCAACTGACGCAGTAGCATCTATATTATTGTCATGGCAAGTTTGTCCATATTTTGTACCTAAAGACTTCAGTTCTTTGGACAATTTATTTCCTTTGTTTGATGCAGACAAATTCTCTGGCAGAGGAAGCGTACTACTTTTGTTAGCAGCAATATCTGATTTCTTGCTTGAATCTGTCTTAACTGGATCTGTTTTGGCCTCGGATTTTGATGACTGCGCATCAGTTTTTATGACTTTTAACCTGTACTCCTGAGAATCTGAATCAGAATTCCTCTTAGGAATCCGGAAGTTAAAATCTTTATCCAATGGTGATGCTGTCGATGTTGTCGTTAAGTGTGGTAGCACACTCTTTGATGATGTTGTCACCGTGGAGGTATTGGATGATAATGTTGAAGATGAGGATGATGGTGGTGTTGTTGCCATCATTGCTGGAAAGGGTGGTGGTGGTGGTGGTAGTGATGGTGGTGGTGTTGTTGCTGTTGGAGCTGCTGTTGTGGTTGTCATAATTTCTGAGGTTGATATCAGTTTCGAAGGTGCTGACTTCGGTGTGCTAGCACCAGAGATAGAGGAGCCAACAACAGGTTTGTTTGTGGCAGACGGAGACTTAAGGTCAGCTGGTGATTTAGAGGGTTCAATCTTTACAGAAGTGAGGAGCTCTGCTTTGCAGTTCGTGGGCACTGACTCCATTAGACTGACATTAATTTTCACCATTACAGGTCGTTTGAAACAAGAGTTACTCTCTAAACTGAAAAGGGTGTTTTCATGTTTTGGCGAATATTTGGAGCAGATCTTTTTGTCAACAGCTGCCTCTGATGGTGACTGTGAGCAAGGGACAGGTTCAACCTTGACAGCATTAAAATTCTCGGCGGGTTGGGACGGCTCTGGTGACAATCTAGGCTTTTTATGTGGAGATGAGGAAAGCAAACTAAGATTAATGCAAATGGGTAACGACACTTTCCGTTTGAGTTTTTTGTCAACTGATGAGAACGTGGGTGATACTGACTTTGGTGTAGATGTTGGGGTCAAATTTTCCTTTGGGATTTTGGTACTGGGCCAATCTTGAAGGTTTGTTGTTGTTGAAGTAGTAGTAGTAGTAGTTGTCGTCGTTGTTGTCATTGCTGTTATCAGTGATGTAGATATTACTGTGGGTTCAATATTAGTTGATATATCACTGACAACAGGTTCGCTTTTATTTACTGGAGTGACTTCATCCATTGCAGATGATGAAATGCTGCTTCTCTTTAAGCTCCCACTGTCTTCAGGTAGCTCCTCACTTTCACTCAATAATGGTGACTTGTCTGGGGACACATTAGGCATTGTCTTATGACTAGGATTATCTTCCTCAGAGTCAGAATTTGCAGAATCTGATGAGCTCTCATCAGAAGAGTCCTTATTACTGAGGCTACCTTGATTGCTATTAGCTACACTACTGCAATTGTCAGACTCTGATTTATTTTGTGGATCAGTCTCCTTCGGTGGTTTACTTTCCATGTGTTTCGTAATGAAACGACTTAAACTCCAGCTCAGGGTCGGACTCTTTTGAATACTACTTGAAGAATCACAATGCTCTCCCTCAGTTGCAGGTTTTGTTGGGTCGGACGGAGGAGAAGGGTTAAGATGAGGTTCTTCCTCCTCATCTGATCCATCTGATTCATCTTCAGTTGATTCTGTGTAACTTGAACAGGATGACCCTTGGTCCACCTTCTCTTGCAGTTCTTCTGGCCCTGCACTTCCTTCATCTTCACTCTTTATTTCTTTCTCTTCTTCCTCATCATCATCACTATCATCATCATCATCATCATCATCATTGTCATCATCATCACTTTCCTCATCGCTAATTTTTTGAGGAGATTCACGAGAACCTTTCCGAGCAGTTGGTGCGCACAGCTTAGGTGTGCCACAAAAATGTATTGGATCTGTTGTCACGGCAACTTCAGTTGGTACCACAGGGTTGTGCACATCGGCAGCTGGGTTCTTGTAAATATCTTCCATCTCATAATCACTATCATTCTCTTGAAGAGCAGGAATGTCAAAACCACCGGAATTTTTTCTCATTTTCAAACTGACATCACACATTAGTGATGGCTGTTGGTTCTGAGAGTTCGGACTGGAACCAGATTTAATGCTTTCATTGTCAGAATCACTCATTTCAAGGTCCTGTGACAGGTCATCCTGAGCTCTCAAGTGTTCAACATTCGAAGAGACAGGCGGTCCATCCATCATTGGACTTAACATCATTGACATATGATTCTTCACCTCTTCAGTAATTGCTTCCTTTTCCTGAGAGAGATCAAGTCGTTTCACATCTAAATTTGCATCTTCATCTGATGATGAACTGTTACATGGTTTTCCATCAGATGGCCGTCGTTCATCAGCATCACTTACAGAGCCCTCACTGTCACTGACAGCCAAGTCAGAATTAATATTTTTAGGGAAGGGAGGTTGGGCATTTTTTATCTTTTCTGGTGTGTTAATGGCTGTAATTGGAGATTTGATGCATGTCATTTCAGCTATTATTGTGTCAAGATCATTCTTGTGTTTTTCCTCAGTGAGATCAGCATTATCTGGAGACAGATTGTCCACACTGCATCGTTGGAAATTCTTAGGATTTTCCAGAGAAGGGACTTCTGGTCTTGACCTGTTCTTGTAGCGTGGATTCTGGTTTAAAGATAAATCAGGCATTGATGTCTTATCACCCAAGCTATCTTTATCAGGCTTCTTTTTGACACGGGGTGATGTATAATTTTTTACTGGGGTTTTGATGGCTGTCAGTTTTTCTGGCTGGCTAGTCATTTCCCGAACAATGCGATTGACATCATTATCCTTGTCACTAAACAAGTTCTCCAGAAGATGTGGTGGTGAGAACTTTGCACTCTTGGTTGTTTGTTGAGGGGTCAGCTGAGATGGCAATGGTTTCATTCGAATATTATTCGTTGCATTTAAAACAGATGATGGTGAAATCGAGGGTGAACAGTGGTGATTCTCATCACAAATATCAGAGCCGGTGGTAACTGGAATAATGGTTGGAGGCTGTTGATGCTGGAGCTGTGGTGGAAGTTGTTGCTGCTGAGTCTGCTGGGGTTGCAATAGGGGTGGTCCTTGACGCTGTGACCGAGAGATTTGTGGAACACCTGTCTGGGGTTGCAAATTTGGGGGAGGTAAAGATGCTGGAGATAAAGACCGTCCCTTTAATGAAGAGTGGACCATGGTTCTCTCACTGTTGCTTGAGTGGGCTTTGCCATCACTAGTGGTGTGCCCTCTGCTATCTCCATGGTGTTTATCATTATATACTTTGAGATCAGAGCAGCCTTTTTTGACATTACTACCATGTTTATCAGATGCACTGCTGCTTTGGTGTTTATTATTGTAGCTCTTCTCACTGCCACTATTGTGGGAATATCTGTCCAAGTGGTGCAAATCAGCACTTGCAGAAGACAAGGCATGGCTAGATTTAGTTCCTCCACCCCCACTACTGGAGCCCAGGCCACTGGCACTGGGGTGGTTGTGTGATGATGAGATTGAAGAGGAGGAATGAGATTTGTGGTTCAAATTGACAGATGAGTGGGTATATTTATTTTTCTGCTGATATGAAGAGGACGAACTGTCCTTCTCAGCACTAGAACCAGACAGCCGAGGGTTTTGAGAACTCCGACTATGAGAGCCAGAGTCAAGAGAATTACGTGCATGTCCACTTTCTTTGGATGGCAATGACGTGCTACTGTTCTGATACAATTTTGATTCATTGTGCCTTGTTTGAGTAAGACCACTAATGACGTACCGGGGCTCTTGCCCACGTCCACTGGGTAAATTGTTGTTGTTAGGAGGCCGGGTCACACCATTGGGTTGAATCTTGCATTTTTGCTGATTATTAGCATCTCGTGAAGAGGGTCGTATGTTCTTGTCCATGTCATATAAATGACCATGACTAGCATGCTTTCCAATTTCTTCAACCACCTCAGGATAGTTCCCCAGAATCTTGGAAATTTGGTTCATCATTGGGGTGTTTGAGTTCTGCTGAACTCGCTTCGGCTTAGAAAAAAGGGGCGAGTTTGTGGTGGGAGATTGCTGGAGAAAGCGCATTGCTTGAGCATGTCTAGCCTTCCGAGCCTCTTCCTTCATCTGCTCCTTTTTGTTGTGACTGGTCATCTTTCAAATTGAAGCCAAGACTAGTCCTGACTTAATATGGTAGAAGTAAAAACACTTTGCATATGTACAAGAGATGTGTGAACAAGTGAGCAAATTAGTGAGCTTGTGTCTGTGAAAACAAGTGTAGGTGTCTGTATGTGTGCGTGTGTGTGTGTGGTGTAAGGACAAAAATGGAATTGATTCCTTTTTCTTCTTATTAGAAGAAACAGTGAAATTCTGTTGGAGTTTTCAACAAAGTTCCACAATGCATTGTGAAACTATTACCCAATACAAACGGGCAAAAATCATTGTAGTTTTACATGATGAAGGGCTTTTTTTTGTTTGTTGCTTTTACTATTAGATCAAAGACTTTGACAAACTATGAAGTAATTTAACAAACAATTCAGTGATTGTATCCAATAGGGGAAAAAAGTGATTGCAGAGAACATAATCCACAATGAGGTTATAGCTGCTGAGTAAGTGGTCAAAATCAACCTCAGGCAGTTTCCAAATTCCTATCTGAAACAAAAACAAAAAACATAATTAGATTTTTTCCTTTATTTTTTTCTTTTTAAATAAATAAATTAGAAAGAACTGGCAGGGATACATAGCATAAAGCAAAACATTTATAATTGTAAAAAGAATATGCAAAACATTAAAAAAAGAATATCCAAAATATTAAAAAAAGAAAAAAAAATATTTGTAAAAAGTTTAAAGCAACATATTTTGCATATCCATTATTTGTATTTAGATGGAAATGAATATTTTGCTCAATGAGCATGAGGAGATCTTAGAAAATAAGATGCAACTTAAAAGAAGTACCCCCACTCTCGCAACAAGTTAACAAAAATACAGAACAGAGGAAGTTAAGTATACAAAGGGTTGCTGAGAATTTTCAGACCAACTAAGAAAGTATTCAAAACAAATATAAATTATGTAAATTCAATAAACAAAAATTTCAATGTTTGGTCATTTGGTTACATTTTGGGACTTAGACCAAGACCTCTCTTGTATGTATTGACATCTTAAAGAAAACATTTAAGAGACAGACTTTTCATTAGAATTTATTAAGGGAACAATATAAAGTTGATTTTTTTTAGGAATATTACTCAAATTTCTTCAATATTAATTTCTTCCATATTCTTGTAGCTTTTTTTTATCCTAATTCTCATTCTGTCATCCTACAATAGTTAATGAGCAATGCAGAAAAGAAAAAAAAGAATAAGGAAAAGAAAAAGAATAAGGAAAAGAAAAAGAATAAGGAAAAGAAAAGAATAATAAAGAAAAAAGAAAAGAAAAAAAGAATAAGGAAAAAGAAAAAATAAGAATAAAGAATAAGGAAAAGAAAAGAATAAGGAAAAAAAATAAGAAAAGAAAAAAAAAAAAAAAAAAAAAAAGAAAAAAAAAAAGAAAAGAAAAAAAAAGAAAAAAAAAAAAAAAGAAAAAGAAAAAAGAAAAAAAAAAAAAAAGAAAAAAAAAAAAAAAGAAAAAAAAAAAAAAAAAGAGAAAAGAAAAAAGAGAAAAGAAAAAAAGAAAAAGAAAAAGAAAAAAAAAAAGAAAAAAAAAAAAGAAAAAAGAGAAAAGAAAAAAAGAAAAAAAAAAAAAAGAAAAAGAAAAAAGAGAAAAGAAAAAAAGAGAAAAGAAAAAAAGAGAAAAGAAAAAAAGAGAAAAAAAAAAAGGAAAAGAAAAAAGGAAAAGAAAAGAAAAAAAAGAAGAAATAAAAAAAGAGTTTCTACTGAGATACTTTATTTCTGTGTTGTTTATAGCCATATCACATTGAAACAATGATTCTCGTATAATCACCAGTTAAACAATATCAAGCCTGGCCAGTACCTAGAGGGATGACTGCTTAAGAATATCAGGTGCAGTAAGCTTGAATGTGTGGATTGTATAATGGATAACGCCTCGGAATCGGAAATTGGGGAGCCAAATTCCCATTTCAGTTGGGTCGGTTATATTCTCTTGTGAGGAAATACCCTTGGAAAAGGTATGAATCCACCTCTTCACCCCCAGCTATGGGTTAATTAATAGAACCTGCACCAGTAAATCATTATCTCCAAAAAATTTTTACAATCTAATATATTTTCTGGCTTTAAATAAGCTGCAGAAGGTTGTTAATCTGTAAAAATGAATCAATAGAAAAAAAAAACTTGTCAAAAATTAACAATTGATGTTTAATCAGCATAATATTACAAGAAAAGACTTAAAAATGACTAATATTAATAAGAAATGATAGCTGCAGATAAAGTGCCTGAGGAAAAACATTTACAATAAAAAGCAACAAAAAAGAATACAAAGTATCCTTGTTAAATATAAATGCAGTCTTTTTCTTTCCTCTTTGAAGAGGGATTGCAAATGACAGACTTAAAATAAATGAAAATTGACTAAATTTAGATTTAGTTTATTTTGTTTAAACTGTTGATCTATAAATTTAAAAAATTCAAGTAATTAAAACAAGCACATTATTGAACAAGTAAAAATTTTCAAATGGGTAAAAGATTTTAGATCAAGAATTTTGATTTATATATTTACTTGCTTCATCAATTGAAGTGAGTAAATTATTTTCTTTAAATTGAAGTTTCAGTGATTTTAATATCAGTGAATATCATATTCACTTATTTTTGTTCTTAATTTTATAAATCATGTATTTCAATCATAAAGACAAAAAAGTCTTTCAGAAAGACATTTTTTAGGCTATGATATTCATGGCATATTTTAATATTTTAGAATTGATAACTTTTAAAGAATCACTACTGTAAAGTACTTCTTAAATAACCAACACATGAGTATGACATGAGTGGAAAGAACTAAGAGGCATTGTCATTGAAGAAAGGTAAGTATAAAGGAAAGAAAATGATGCAAAAAGCTAAATGTGGGACAGGAAAACAAAAATGTGTACAAAATGTGGTTATATATATATATATATATATAAAATTAAAATATGTAAGTCTTCATTTACATATGGAAATTACAATTTGACACGTGTGGAAGAGAGAGTCAAGAAAAATAAATGTGAACTGAAAGAAAACATCTGAAAGAAAAAGACTAATGCAGATACAAAGGTGAAAACAGTAACAGTAAAATAGTTAATAAAATATAAAGAAAACATTATGGAATGTTTACCCCCCCCCCCACCGCTAGTCCTGATAAGAGGAATGATAACAAGAGCTTGTGATTGCAATGCAACCGACAAAAATAGTACAGCAAATTGTACCTGGCCTTAGACAACAATAGCTATTGTAGCAAAAGATGGCTAACCATTATTGTTTATCATCTTCTATATGTCATGTCCCTTCAGGATCATGGCTCTCCAAAATTTCCTGTCCTTTGTCACTCTTAATAAATTTTATCTTTGTTATCTCTCTCTCTCAAAGCCTGTTCTGCCATCCATTTACACAAGCTTGTTATGTAGGTTATGTGTCGTTTTCCTGTCCCTCTTCTCTTTAATCTTTCCTGTATCAAATTTTCCAAGCACTCTTTCCTCATTATGTGCCCTAGAATTTTCAACTGTCTATTTCTGTTTTTAAGTATAGGTGTCCTTTTTTGTTTCAATTTTCTCTAGAACTTTGTTGTCGCTCATGTTATTCTCAAGCATCCTTTTGTAGGACCACATTTCTGCTGCTTCAAGTGTTCTTCATTTGTGAGGAGATTTCCAGCATTCACTGCAATATAGGACTGATATTAAGCAACAGTTCAGTACTCTTTTCTAATGAAATTCTCCTGTTTCTTAATACTTTGCTTAACCTTTGGAAGTTATCTCTCGCTATCCCAATGTGCTTAGGATTTCAGTGTCATACATTGTCCTCTGTTAAAACACTTTTCAGATATTTAAATTGTTGTACTTGCTTGATTTTAGCATGTTTAATTTAACTTTTAGCACTCTGCATTATTAATATTACTTCCCTTTCCACTGCATTCTTTTTCAAGGCCTCTCAATTGCAGTATCCTTTTTGTTAATTTCAAACAAAGTTGTTTTCTGTTGTCATAGAAGGATATAACAAAACAACTATGAAATTCAAACACTATTGTTCAGGGAGCAGAGTCACCTTCAGTGGCAGGATAAATTTTTTGTATGAAGTCAAATACAGAGTGATAAAGGTTAACAAAGCTAAAGGCTACATTTTGTGAGGATTTATAAACAGATGTTTACATAAAAATATTAAGAAAGACATTTTCTATTTCTGATAAGCAACAATAGCCCCCAATGATAATCCAAACATTTAATGAGAAGGATTTGACATTAATATCAAATCACAATTTTACTCAAAGCCTAGATACCCACTCAGACCTGATACTCATAAATTTAAAAAAAAAAAAAAAGTTTAAAGAAAATGGTAACTAAAAGAACACTAATATTTAAAATGGGAAGGGGACTGTTGAAATTTCTGGGACACATAAGAAAAGTAGGCTTGGATAATTTAATACCTACAGAACATTATAGTCAGAAAAAGTAAAGGGAATCATTGAGTAACCTACTGAAGAGTTTAGGTGAATGAATTGCAGTGATGATAAAGAGGGATGGTAAAGGGCCAAGCATTGTTAGAGCTACAAGAGACAAGAAATTGTGAGGAGCCATGACAGACCATGTCTTGAAAGGACATAAAAGAAGAATAAATTAAAAAAAATGCTATACCTCTAAAAACTTAAAATAACAGGTTGATGATGCAATATACAATAGTTGCATAATTCTAGTACAACACTTGTTCAAAACTAAATAGAAATCTTTAAGTTTATCTATTGCAGTATCAGGGCTATGTACGGTTTTGAATTCAGAACTGTCCTTCTCCTAGATTAATTGTTAACGATAATCATATATATAACAAAGACCACCAATATTTTGACAATTATTTTTTTTTTAATCTTTCAGAAAAAAAAAGTTATGACTTTTTCAAAAGTCAATTTAAAAAAAAAGAAAAATTCCAAAAAATCTGTGTGTGTGTGTGTGTGTGTGTGTGTGTGTGTGTGTGTGTGTGTGTGTGTATATATATATATATATATATATATATATAATGACAGAAACAAAAAAGACCTCTGAAGAATGACAAACATTTAGCCTGACCACTATTTTGTCATTCAATTACCCACTATTAATCTGAAATTTGTACATCATATCTTCCACATTATAACTTTATAAAAATGTATATAATGTAATTAAAAAGACAATAATTGGGAGAAAAAAAAAATATCAATATACCCCCCACAAAAAAAAAAGTAGTTAAATGACCCTTCCCCACCAAAAATTGTTCAGATTGTCCGGGTGAGAGCAATGCAGAGTTGACACCTCCTGGTAAATCAAAGAGGGAAGTGGAGGCTCAAGTGTTAAGAGAGAATCTGTGTGGTCTATAAGAACTCTACACTAGTAGGAAGGAATGGGAGAGAGTAATAGAAGGTGGACTGTTAGTGAACAGGTGTTTGGTTGACACTGAGTTAGGAAACAGACGTTTGCCAAAGCTATTTGTTTAGCAATAATACATTTGCAAAGGCAAACAGAAATAGTGTAAACCTCTTTTTTCACTGCTGATGAGGGAGGGATACTTGAATACCTTGATCAGTCGGCAACAGTCAATATGCAACCTGGTTCCTAGACTCCAAGCAAGATTTTGCTTACTACTAATTAGACACCTGAAAGAGGTGGAGGGGAGAGGAGAATGTTTTAAATAAGTGGATAAAATGGGGAAGTAAGATAAGAGTCAAAAGCTGAATAGTAAACTCATTCATTTTGTCTAAATCAACACACAATATGCCAATGCATCAAAATATACTGATGTATGAATGTACGAAAATATTAAACAGTGCTGAAATCTCTCTCATATATATAAGAAAGTGTATATTGACTTTAGAATTTGGGGCCAACAAATAGCAAAAATTGAATTCAAGATGTCAGAAACATGATATAAAATCTTGTCAATTTATACTCCACATGTTCTATTGTCTTATTTATATAGGCTTTCTAACTTCCAGAGTTTGCATTTATTTATTTCATTAAGCAGAGCAACTGCAACATCACCCCAAGCTTTGAATTAATGTCAGAGGCTGACGAGCAGTGAGCAAGTAAGCTTCTCTGTAGGTGGAGATGGGGGACAAGAGGAAATATATACCGATATTTCCAGTCTTTAAATTATTTAGGTGAAAGCACATGGGCGTGGCGGGGGAGGTATGTAATATTAATAAACATTTGTGTAACTATTTACTGGTCATTTTTTCATTTATTCTTTAGATCAAGTTTATATGAGAGAAGGGAAAGAAAGCGAGAGACAATAGTTTAGGCAAAGACGTGGGGAGGTAAAGATAGGAGGAGGAGAAGGCAAAGACTCGGGGGGGGGGGTAAAGGCAGGGGAGGCAAAACTCGAGGTGGGATGAAGAGATAGAAGGGAGGAAGAGACTCGGAGGTGAAGAAAAGAGAGAGGGACAAACACTCGGGGGGGAGTGAAAAGAAGAAGAAGAAAAAAAAAGAAAGTAAGAAAGGAAGGAAGGAAAGGGAAGGAAGGAAAAAGAAGAACGTAGAAAAAGAGAAAATCGGAAAATGGGCCAAAAAACCTGCAGTTTTTTTGCCGTCGTTGTAGCATTCCTCCGTCTTTATCTGACCTACTTTTTCGTGACAGCGGAAGTCAAGGTCACGTACAGCTGAATAAAACAGCAGCGGAGAGGCAGCCCGATATAAAACGGAAAATGCCGGGCAGCGTGAGAGAAATATGACACAGTTACCCTTTTGGGGGGGGGACATGAAAGAGCAGACATAAAAGGAAATTGGTGCACCCCCTCTCTTAATATGCACACGACAGGAGAGAGAGAGAGAGAGAGACGCGTGTTCACACTAAAAGTGCATTGAATCTCGAACAAACACATACATTTCTTGGGAACATGTATACAACAAAACAACAAAGATCTTGCGAGTATCTCAATGGGGTAAAGGAACAAACAAACAATTTATGTAAAGTAGCAAAAATAAGCATTAGTGTATTTAAATTAATAGAGAAGAAAAGGAAAAATCAACAAATTTGAAGAACAGATATCCAGAATAGCAAGTTATCTGCAATAAAGGATTAGACATGTCCGTAGCTAATTAATCACAGATCAGGTTTAATATCGTAAACATGTCAGCTATGAAGTGTATATTGACCTTTTCAAAAATCGCGCACATTCAGTTATTTTCTAGTAGACAAACTTGAAAGGAAACGTGATAGTTAATAAGGTAGACTCGTAGATCAATTTGTTACTGTAAGTGTGGGGGTGTTCGATCTTCATTGAGTGCCCTCAGTAGAGTTTACTGTGTTCAAAGCCAAACTTTGTAATCAGTTACTGAAGGTGATTCAACTTGCTTGAACAGTCGAGTGTTAGCCATCTCGTTTCAGACCATTACTACTGTGGAGAGTTTGATCGTAACAGAGTGCTCAACATTTTTGCAGCTTAAAGCCGAATTTAGCAAGTACCTAAAGTCTGATAAGACTTGAAATTGGGTGAAAAAAGTAGTATGCAATATAAACATTCTTTTATGTGTCCCTTCGGGACGTAAGCAATTATGACCCTCGACATCTTGTCCTTTGTAGCTCTTAATAAGTTTTGTCTTTTTGTTATTTCTCCCAAACCCTGTTCTACTATCTATTTGCTCAAGCTCCTCAAGCATGTTACGCGCTACTTTCCTCTGTCCCTCAATATGTCCTGTGAGTATCAGGTTATCCAAGCCCTCCTTCCTCATTACGTGACCCAGAAATTTCAACTTCCTATTCTTGATGTTAAGTATAAGTTTCCTTATTTCCATTTTGTCCAAAACCTCGTTGTTGCTCACATGTTCGCTCCATGTCATCCTCAGCATCTTTCTGCATTTCTGTTGCTTTAATTCTCTTCATATTTGAGGAGATTGTCCAGCATTCGCTGCCATACATGAAGAGATATCACGTAACAGTCCAGTACTCTTTTCTTTATTTTTAACGAAATTTTTCTGTCTCTTAATAATATTCTGCTTAACTTTTGGAATGCATCTTTGGTCATCCCAATACGTCTTAATGTTAGTGTAACTATTACTAGTCTTTTTTTTTTTTTCATTTATTCTTTATATCAAGTTTATATATGAGGGAAAGAAAAGATAGTTAAAACCTGAAACAAAGATAGAATAAGAAGTAAAGAGAAGGGAATTCAAAGACTCGGGGTGATGTAAAGGTAAAAGGGGAGGCAAAGACTAGATAGTAGGGTAACGGTAAAAGAGTAGGGAAAAACTCGGGGTCGGATAAAGAGAGAAAGGTAGGCATAGACTCTGGGGTGGAGCAGAGATAGAAGGGGGGGGCAAAGACTCGGGGCATGGTAAAGATAGAAGGAGAGAAAGATTTGGGGGTGTAAAAATAAGAGTGGGGAGGCAAAAAATTCGGGGAGAGATAAAGATAGGAGGAGGCAAAGACAAAAAATGTAAACAGAAATAAATGAAAAGGGAGAGAAGTTTCTCCTTGTGCACACAAGCATACTCACATCTACGACGTAATGTGATAGTGCCGATGTACCTTACAAACACTAAACATGATTTGCTTTTGTGCCAAACAAGCAGTGCCACAATAACATTGAGCCATAAAAGAGTGTGATTAGGTGGAATTGCATGAGATGTCGGACCGAAATTGGTCAAGTGTCAAAATTTAACCCTGTGTAACTTAGTAGTATCAAAAGATAACAATTTCGCAAAATGCTGACAATGAAAAACTTTTTGGATATTGAGTAATTGAACATCTTACGTGTAAAAAGAAAAAAAAAAGCGCGTTGATTCAAATAAACTTTCTGCCGGGTTATGTAATTGTTATGGTCCGGTTCCTTGTACCACGGTGATAGTCCAAGGTAGAACCAATAAAGAACTCGAACACAGGTATGGAATAACACAGGAATAGATACAGAGAAGTTGAAGTGTTAGTATGAACAATCAGGTTTAGTAGAGAGAACAATGTAGTCTCGACCAGTATCACTATTTCAATGTCTTGCAGTAATTGTCTGAACGCGACTCAGTTTTGGACTGCCTTTGACTAGACTTGAACTACTGACGATATTCAGTCACCCCCTCCACTAGGGCGTCATGTGACACAAGGCCGGTTTTTAACGTGGGATCTCCGAGCCCGTGGACTCGGCCCCAAAATATGCCCATTGAACCCGTATAAACGGGTTCAGAGTCGGTTTACCTCCCCGAAGGAGAATCCGCCCTTCGGCGTAGCCTCCTTCGGGTTCTTCCCCGCTCGAAGGCAGAGAGTTCAACCGAAACAGGCGGTCAAGAGTTGAACGACTGACGATATTCAGTCACCCCCCTCCCCCCACTGGGGCAGCATGTGACACAAGGTCGGTTATTTATTGTGGGTTCTCTGAGCCCGTGGGCTCGGCCCAAAAATATGCCCATTGAACCCGTATAAACGGGCTCAGGGCCGGTTTACCTCCCCGAACGAGACTCCGCCCCTCGGCGTAGCCTCGTTCGGGTTCCTCCCCGCCCGAAAGCAGAGAGTTCAACCGAAACAGTCGGTTCAGTAGTGAACGACGGACTCTCGCCTACTGACTGAGGCATAGTATTAAGTATGGAATAGTCTATTATTATTATTATTATGGGTAATATCCCATAACAGTAATATACGTATAGTTAGAAGTTAGGCGACAAAACCATAACGCATTGAAAATTATTTAAACGTTTCTTTGTTGTCTTTTTTAGTAACATTTTGAGTTTAATTGAAAGCTATTAGTCTAAAGCTACCTATAAAAAAAGAATTAATTTTACCTAAGTTTTTAAGATAACAAAATTGTCACCGTGATTTATCATCGATTTGATATTTTAATTTAAAAAAAATAACAAATTTATAACACTTTTAAAATCTCTTAAAAAATCAAATATGTCCTTGAGATTTATTTCGAAGAAAATGAGCCAAATTAAGGATTAATTAACAGAAATTATCTATCATTTGTTATGAACCATGCAAAATGTGTATTTAGCTTAACGATAATTAAAAATACTACGTTTGAGCTGAAATTTCGCGTGCGTCTTACGAATGAACACCCGACAGTTCAAGTTTAAGAGAATTGCAATAGGTCAAGAAATAATCCAAATAATTTAGATGAGTAAAACCATAACAATAAAAAAAAGTAAGGAATTAAAACAGAAAAAAGAAGAAGCGAGGAATTACTTCAATAATTTCTGGAGGAAGTTAATTCCCTTAATTATTAATGATTAATATAATTAACGGAATTAACTTAATCAAAACGTAAAAAAAAAAGAAAAACAAAGAAATCAAAAATAAAATATATTTTTTGAAACTAAATACAAATATAATTATTACAATACGATGACGTGTCTTTTGTCTTGATTCACTTTTTCAACAAAATCACCTATCATTTTGTATTTAACTGTTAAAGTGGTTTTGCAAAATTTTCCAGCGGTTTTTTTCTTATTTGAGACTAAATAATACACCGTTGAAAACCAGTTTGTCGCTGTAAACTTCTTCACACACCTAACAGATAGTAACTTGTAAATTGAACTTAAACCGGTTCCAATGCTATATAACCGAACTTGTATCAGACAACAGAGAGCAATGTCAAAATCGAAATCTTTTCTTTCTTAGGATATAACTTTTCTGAAGTGAGCCAATAATGAACATTTGTACATTTCTTTATTTTATACCTAGATATCATTTGCTCTAACGAAATCTTCAGAAACGGGTCAAAACTTTACATTTATTTTGCACAATTGTGTGTACATACCTACCTACATAGATTGAATGTACAGAGATGGCGTAACTAACTGTTAGCAACGCAGAAAATGGAATTAGTGAACACCGTTCAAAATTTCGACTGAGATAGTATTCACTTTACATTTAATACCTTTCAGAAAGACACGAATCCATCATTTCTAACAGATTGTAAGGGGTAACTCCCCACTGCTAATTGTATTTTGTAATTAAGTACAACATGTTACATATTACTTGAGAGGAGATGGACATTGAGGACAAACCTAACGATCTACAAAGGGTAAATGTAAAGTGATAAAGGAGACACACAATCATGCATACGGACAAAAATAGTGACCGAACACGAGTATATTGATAAAAGACAAAAAGATACAAATAAACTGAAAATAAAAAGGTAAAAATAAGATTGACTCTTCCCCCCGCAAATCTTTCTGTTATATATCTCCGATTTTCAACTCCAAGCCATTATCCATTACATCATCACCACATTCAAACTTACACCACCTGATATTACCAAGCAGTTACTCATCTAGGTATTGGCCAGGCTTCACGTTCTTTAACTTTGGTGATCGTACGGGAACAAATGTTTCAACGTGGTAGATAGATGGAGAGAGAATAAAGAAAAATACAATGCAGAGAGCAGCTGTGGAAACAATAAGTAAATATAAATACACAGGTAAGCTCCTAGAGGATGGAGGCTAGACGTTTCAATGTTCAATCAGAGACTCGTTTAAAATGTCCCGAATTGTTAAAAAAATTGCAAATAAACAGTGTGTGTGTGCGTAGAAGCACAAACACATACACAGGTTGATGTACCTATTATGAGTGCGAAGAATTTTGAGGAAAAAAAATCTTGTATATGGTCAGGGTACATTGTAACTGGTCACAAAGCGAAGAAATACCTTGTGTTGAGCCATTTCTTTTCAACAGAAACGCTGAACAATATTCCATGAATTATTCGGATGAAGATACTATTGTTTCTACAATTACATAAGATTTTTTTCAGCCTTGAGGAAGCCTTCCACCC